ATCTGCTCTTCCTCGTATCAGGCTGGGGCCTTCCTGTCCTTCCTCTGACCTTATGCTGAGCTCTGTGTGCTGCTGGAGTTCAAGCCCTGCTCCTACCCTCCAAAATCAAGGGTCAGATAAATATGATGGTCTGAGTAGGTTATGGCTCTCTCTCTCTGTCTCTCTCTGTCTCTGTCTCTCTCTCTCTCTCTCTCTCTCTCTCTCTCTCTCTGCCTCTCTCACTCTGCCTCTCTCTCTCTGCCTCTCTCTTTTCCTCCCTCTCCCTCTCTCTCTTTCTCTCCCATACACACAATAATAAAAAACAATTTTTTAAATTATAAAAATTAGAGAATGCAGAAAACAAAAATGGAAGACTGTTTTGTACAACATGGAAAACAGATGAGTGACACAGCCCCGGGCCTGGCCAGGTTGTCTGGACTGACCTGCTGGGGCATCCCAGGGATCCACCTTTCTCTACTTCCCCAGCACCCATGTGGCGAGGGAGCGCACCACACTGGGATTGCCCCCCCCCTTAACATGTGTTCTGAGGCTTGAACTCAGGGCCACAGGCATTCCAGGCAAGCACTGTACCAATTGAACAATCTTCCCAGCCATGCTTTTATCTTTTGCAAAAATCTTAGACTTAAGTTTCCTGTGTCCCCACTCTTTAGCCTGTCCACAGTGACGTGCATAATGGCAGCCATGCCTTTCTGAGGTTTGTCTTGTCTGAGGAAGGTCCAGCTGGTATTCTCTGCGTGGATCAGAATGTGTCCTCATAACAAGAGTGGCTTTGTACAGGAGGAACGCTGGCTCAGCCGTCCTGGACACTGTAGCCCCCTGAAGTGCCGAGTCACTCTTGTCCCCTTTGCCTGTGTGTTGCTGTGTGTGTTCAGTGTGCATTGTGTTGGTATATTAGCAGATGTGTAGGCACCTGACCACACGTTTGCAGCTGCCTTCTCTGACCTCTACACCTTATGCATTAAGGCAGGATCTCCCTGTTGTGGCCAGTCTACCCAGCGTGTCCTTCGTCTCCACCTCCTGCCTGGCACTTGTGTCAGCACTGAGGTTCAGCCCATGTTCATGGTGAGCCGTCTCAACAGCCACTTTCTCTTGTTTTTTTTTTTGCTGACGAGGGAGCTCTGCTTCATGGGGCTGCACACGTCAGAGGCGGTGTTCCTAGCCAAATGCTTAACCTGCATGTGCATCCCCTGTTGGTTTTCATGGTGCCTGTGGAGTTCAGATGGTACCTGGAGGCCAGTTTCTTCTTGGACAGAGTCTCAACTTCCTCACTGTTGGGGTGTAAATGAAGCCCTGCTCCTCGTTGGGGTGGCAGGGGGCCAGTGAGCACACAGGCAGCTGGCAGCCGGTACTCACAAGCACGAGAGGGCATGCTGGCAGGTGATCTGCATGAGGTGGGCAGGGCAGACAGCACCAGACACCTCACTGTCTGAGCGCCTGGTCACAGCCTAGAAGAAGCAGGCCTTTCCTAAGGCGCCCCTTCCAAATACCTGCCTGGATGTTTCATGCAGGAAACATCCAGATGGCAGATGGCTTCTGTAAGAGTACAGGAAGGTGGGGCAGAGGGAAGGAAGGTCATGCTCACCTCAGCTGCCGTATTTGGTGCCAGGTACAACAGAAACCAAGAGCATTTGGGCCCCAGACGACCTTGGTAACTTGATCGTCCACATTCCACGCATGTCAGGTGAGGAGTGTGAGTGCAGTTTGCTTTTACGTAGTGGTTTCGGTTGAGTGAGCTTCATCATAGACTCACAGTGAGGAAACAAAAACGGTGTGTCTCTGGGTCTCTCCTGAGGATTTTGCACACCTGGGTGGGGGGCCTTCCTCTCGAGGAAGCGTGCAGTGCAGCCTGTGCCTGGGTTCTGATGGTCTACTGACCAGCTTTGAGTTCTTCTCTAGGCATCTGTGTCTTCAGCTCTAACGGGCATCCCTACAGCCCGGCCCTCATCAGGTCCTTGTGAGGGAGGAGGGCATCATGCAGAAGAGCATGGCAGAGCGAATGGCGCAGACACCCTGGCCCTCAGCTGGGCTGCGTTGCTGGTAGCACTTCCAGCTTTCCATCCATGGCGTGTGAGCGTGACTATAAAGGAAGTTGACCTCCACATGTGGTGCTGATGTCTCTCACACAAGCAGCAGCCAGAAGGCAGATAGTAGGGGCTACCATGAGTGAGACCTATGCCACTGAAAAAGGTTTACCTTGGCTTATTCCCTTCTACTCTCCAGACGCAGTGACTCGCTGTCTCGTGGTTGCAAGGTGGCTCGCACAGTTCCCTCTGTTATCTGTAAGAGGAGAGTGAGCGGGCAGAAGTGCCATAGTAGCCATAGCTTTCTGCTGTCAGAGAAGCAAAGCTTCCCCCAGCTCTGCCCCCAGCCACTGCCCTCCTCTCATGCCCCAGTCCTGTGTTTGTGGCAAACACACTTTCTGCACTGGTGTCCCCTGATCTGAGGGAAAAGTGGGTACTGTTTTATTTGCAGTCTTTTTCTTAACTCTTCCCCCCCCCTTTAGGGTTTCATTTATTTGATTGGGTTTTGTTGAAATAGACTCTCACTTTGTAGCTCTGACTGACCTCAAATGTTCCTCTTTTCCCACCGCAGCCTCTAAGATATTGGGATTTCAGGCATTCATCCTCAGCTTTTCCTTAACTTTAAGTGGAAACAAAACACATGCATACAGTGTATACATCTTTGCTAGATTACTCCAGCAAGTTGTACTATTCAGCCACATAGAAACAGTCTGCGATCATCTCAGAAGCCTTCCTTTTAGCCTCTTTCACCTTCCTCAAGGTTCCTACTGTTCCCATCTGTAGCCAGAGGTCCGTGTTGCTGGGTTCTGGGCTTGTGGGAGGCAGTGGGAAGGTGCATCTGTCTGTGCTTCTGGTAGGTGTCAGCTGCCTCTGTGTGATTGTGAGGGCCAGACCTGGATTAGTTCCTGCTTTTGCTGTACTTGCATCTGCATAGAGCTGGCTCTGTGAACACATGGCAGGTATCCCTGAGACAGCTCATGGTGTCTGCTGGGGTGTCTTTCCTCAGGAAAACTCCTCCTGAGTCTGTGTAGCTTGCCTGTATCCTGCTTGCCCTAGCTCTGCGTCCATGTTAACAGGAATCTCTGAGGATGGGAGTGCCTGATGGGAGTGCTGTCAACATGAAAGGGCTTCCTAAATAACCGCCCATTTGGAGAGGAGGGAAGAAGAGATTATGAGACAGGATTTTGTGGAAGGAGATTTTTAGGCAAAGGGAAAAACAGCCATTAAAGGTGTCTCTGGGAACTGGAGCTGAAGGCCAGCCTTTCCTCATTTGAATAGTCAGTTTCCTGGTCGTGAGAAGGCCTTGAGGACAGAGGCCTGGGGTGATGTGTGTCAGTGGACTCGTGAGGACAGAAAGGGTGGGTGATTCTAGAGTATGTTCATGTAAGTCAGCCAGGGATGCAGGAGACAAACTGGAACCCTGGGGTCAGCTCCCATGGCTACTCATTCTTAACTGCCTTTGCTTCAGGGACCTGCTGGTTCTGGGTCTTGTGTCTGCTAGAACTGTGTTCTGGGATATTCCACTGAGACTGACTAACGGATTATTTTTGTAAAGCAATTAGAATATCTTAGAATATTGAAGTAATTATTATATTTATTGCCCTTGTTGTGGAGGGGGTTTGCAGTGGACCTAGAGATATAAGTAGAATTACTCCCATTTTGCTAATTAACAAATTGAAGGTTAGAGAGCTTCTGCAAACTTGTAGTGAGTAATAGGTAGATAATAGGAAGAAAAGTTAAGATGGGTGGGGTGGTACATCCCCCCCCCAGCAGCCTTGGGAGGGAGGCAGAGGCAGCCTTATCAACAAATGGGTTCTGGGCCAGCCAGAGCCAACACAGTGAGACTTATCTCGACAGTCACAAAAGAAGCCAAAGAAGAAAGGTTGATGGCCAACCATCTTGCTCAGATCCCTCCACATGGCATTCTGCTTCTCCACCTTTACAGAGAAAGCCTCAACTTTCTGCTGTGCTGGCCTGGCCCTCTTGCCGTTTCCCTCACCTGGCATTAACACAGTCTCCATGGTTTGTCCAGGAGGCCCAGAAAGCCATGCATACCTTCTGTCACTTATTTCCATCTTAGCTTTTCTTAAGGCTTCATTGTGTGAAGAGCCACAAAGGATTCATGCCATTTTAGGAAAGAGAAGTTTAAAAAAAAAAAAAGTGTTAAAGCTGAGCAAGTAGTGGGAAGTACCCTGCTGGATAATGAGACACTAGTTTAATCTAGGTGACATCACAAGCCCACAGCAAAGCATCACACCCTGGGTACAGACCTCATTTATGAAATGGGTATGTCATCACTAATGTCCCTGCCTGTCCACAAAACAAGAGGGTCTTAGGACCTTTCCTGTGCTTGTTTTATGCTTCTCAAGTAGATTCAGGATACAGATTTGTCCTAAAGGAGACTTACTTATTAAATGTAGATCCTGAGAAGGGAACACAGTTAACACACACACACACACACTCACACACACACACACACACACACACACACACACACTTGTATACCCACAACTCAAACACACATACAAACATGCACACACACTCATAACACTCACAAATGCACACTCATGCACACACACACTCACACATGCACACACACACACTCACTCACACACACACTCAGTCACTCATAACTTCACCAAGTGAGCTACATTTGCCACTGCGTCTCCCAGCCTGGCTTTCTCACCAAGAAGGGGTTCACACTGATAAATGATTCATATTGGAACTTAAGATTCCTGGAGGGACCGGCAGGCTTTCATCTTGGATAAAGTGCCATAAGTAACCAACCTCAGTCAGTTTGCCAGACTGAGTATAAATCCTCCTTGCTGAGTGTGTGATTTGTAATGTAAACTGTCTTCAGTTATACCTGGAAGTGCTGAGCTGAAGGGAGGCACAACTGCACAAATTTGAAAATAAGATATGAGAAGTAGTGGGTATGGATGCACTGTACTTAGACAAGTGACTGCTGTGTCGTTTTAGACCCAACAAAGAGGAGACTGGACTTGTGAGTGCTTCTGGTGCGTCTGTTGTCAAGTATGGACTCAATCCAGAGAAGGGCTTCATGCAGGTTCATTACTTAAAGGTAAATATGCCAAAATTTATTTGGTTTTTAATCAACTTCTATTTAAATTAATAACAATCTTATTTTACACACCAATCCCAGTTCCCTCTCCCTCCCATTCCCCCCACCATCTCCCCATCCCATCCCCCCATCCATTACTACTCAGGGCGGGTGAGACCTCGCATGGGGGATCATCAAAGTCTGTCATTTGGGGCAGGACCTCGAGAGAGTCTCCCTCCATAGGGAACGGTCCCACTGCCGGTGGCCCCAAAGACTGCCCAAGCCCCCCAGCTGACACTCACGTTCAGGGGGCCTGGTTCAGTCCTATGCAGGTTTGGCTACTCCATTTTGTCATAGCATGGCATTCCTGAGGCCACTGAGCTGAACAAGATGAGTAACAGCATAGCTGAGGCGAAGAGGAAGTGACTCCACCTCTGCAATGATATCTCAGTGAGCCTAGACTGAGTATTCACAGGCCAACTCCAAAAGCCTCTGGACAAGGTCGTGTTCAGAAGACTCAGCCGGAGGGAGCCCAGGTCCCTGCTGCAGATGAGTAGAGACCAGAACCGAAGGCACCCCTGGACCTGATGTGAAAGCTCTCGGCCTCTCCTCCCTGGCAGAGTGCAAGCTGAGGTGGCATGACATTAGCAAAGATGTTGAAGGCTCTTAAGTCCGCCCAGCTTCCCTGGTCAGACATAAAAGTATGTTCTGGACGCACTAGTGTATTGCACTAGTGAAGCCATTGTATGATGCCAGTGTATTGTCTGTCTTCTTTCTTCTCCCAGGGCTACTTCCTTCTTCGATTCCTAGCCAGAGCACTTGGAAAGGACATTTACTTTTCATCTTTAAGAAAATTTGTACACCTGTTTCATGGGAAGTTGATTCTTTCTCAGGTAATTCATGGGGTCCTGGTGAACTCACTGCACACAAGTGGAGAGGCTGCAGCATACAGGGATTAGATTATGTCAACACTGGAAAGTAGAGAATTTACAGTTATATTTACTGGGAGAAAGGTGTTAGTGATATGGACTCAAAGGATGACTGTTTGGGGAATGTGACCTCCTGGTAGTAGAGTGAGCTGCTGTGGCCTCCAGCTGTTCACCACTATAGAAGCAGTCCTGCTGGATTCATCTGGGCAAGCTTTTCTCCTTCTGATGCTGCCACCTCAGACTCATCCCAGCCAGCAGCTCAGGGTGCTTACTGTGCAAGCATGAAAACTGGAGTTCAGTTCCCAGCACCCACACAGAAATCTCTGATCCCACATATACCTGCAACACGGCACTGATGGTTCACAGAGACAGGGGAATCACTGGGACCTACTGGCCACAAGTCCAGCAGAAAAAAACAAAACAAAACAAAACCCAGGTTCAAGGAGAAAAACCCATCTCCAGGGAACAAGGATGATAGTGATAAAGGAGGACACCAAACACCATGGCCTCCAGACATGCAGGCATGTTACAAAAAATCTTTCCGCCAAAAGCTGCCTGAGCCCCACTGCGTCTTGTGTGTGCTTTACGCCAGCCGCCCGCCCGAGTTAGGCCCAAATGAATACACAGAAACTTGTATTAGGTACAGTGCTGCTTGGCCAATGACTAGGATCCTCATCTGTTAGCTTAGTCTTAATTATCATAAACCTATATATTTTATAAGACTTATCTTATCAGATGCCTTATTGGCGTCCCACCTTGCCGGTGGCTCACATCGTGCCACTGAAGCAGGAATAGAGGGGAAAAGAGAGACACTTCCTGTTTCTCCTTCTTTAAATATGAGTCTCCTTGCTATGTCACTTCCTGCCTGGACCACCACTTCTCTACTACATTTCCCAGAATCCTCTTTGACTCCTGGTCCCATCTAACTTGCTGTCTCATTGGCCAAACAGTATTTTATTCAATAATCAATAAGATAAACATACACAGCACATTCCCCATCATCTCCTTTTTTCTGTCTAAATAAAAGAAGGATAACTTATCTTTTATAATAACTGAAGAAAACTATACCATAACTATCTGTCTTCAATTCTATCAAAGACCATAGAAGGATAATATATAAAGTCTAGAATTGACAGAGACATCCGCTACCTGGACAGTCACCCAAAGTTCCTCTGTAACATTGGGGCATCCATCTTCAGCCTTATAGGCCACAGTGTGTCTGGCACACTTCTCCATTTCAACAGGAACCCTTCAGTACTGCCTTGTTTTGTAAGTTCAACAGTCACTTTCTTGTGGGTCCTGCATGTCTAGTTTATTCAGCACGATGTGAGCCACCAGCCAGGAGGGACGCCAATAAGACGTCCGATAAGATAAGTCTTATAAAATATATAGATTTATGATAATTAAGTCTAGGCTAGCAGATGAGGAATCCTAGTCATTGGCCAAGCAGCAAGATAAACATACACAGTACATTCCCTATCACAGGCATGCTCACTCACACAACACACACACACACACACACACCCCAAAACAAACAATGCCAAAAACAGCAACAAAAACCCTTTGTCTTAAGTGGTTTTGCCATTTGACTCAGTCGAATAGCATTCTTTTATTGCTTTATTTATTTTTTTATTTACTTATTGAGAGAGAGAGAGAAAAAAAAAGAGAGAGAGATTGCTTTATTTATTTTTTTATTTACTTATTGAGAGAGAGAGAGAAAAAAGAGAGAGAGAAAAAGAGCGAGAGAGAGAGAGAGAGAGAGAGAGAGGGAGAGAGAGAGAGAGGGAGAGAGAGAGTGTGTGTATATGTGTTTAGGTCAGAGAGCCATGTGTTTTCTCCTTTTCCCACGTGTGTCTCAGGATTGAACTTGAGTCATAAGCCTTAAGCATCAAGTACCATTACCTACCCCTGAGCCAGCACAGGGGCCTGCATGCCTTTTGAAAATTTACATTTTGCTCAAATTTTATGGTTAAATATACATAAAATAAAGTTTGCCATTGTAAGGTACAGCTTGGTAGGGTTGAGCCCCACCAACTTTTCTGTCCCATCAACAAGCATGTACCTCCGGAACATTCCATCTTCCCACACTGGCTTTCTACAGGGGTCCTAGAGAGCCGTACTCGGGGCCTCAAGCTCATGTGGCACGAGCTTTGCCAGCTGAGATGACTCCCCAGCCATAACAAGGCTAATTCTTTGATCCAAATCTCTAGAAGCCCACACTGTTGTGCTGGAACGCCTGCCTTTACATTCTCACTGATTTCTCCGTGTGCTTGTCAGCCTCTGTCGATTTCCGCTCTTCTTCTTGTTGTCATTTTACTTTGCTTTTTTTGAGACAAGGTTTTATTCTGCAACCCAAGCTAGTCTTGACTCTCTCTAATCCTCCCACCTCCTGGCTTGTATGTGCTTTTAAGATTTCATCTACCCAAGTTTAGTGGAAAGGAGACTGAAGTGAACAGTCTGAGGTCATAATAGTGAGAGAGCAAGCGAGAGCTCTGATAAGAAGCATCACTAGAGATATGCTACTGTGATTCCAAGTGTGATTTCCCTTCACACTTGCTCCTGGGGAAGAGGAAGTACATGGCTGTAATCCCCTGAGTTCCAGTCCAGCCTGGCTACCCAAGACCAAAATGAGACCTGTCTCAAAAGCAAAGAATAGGGCAGTGTTTTGGTTTTGGTTTTTTTCTTTCTTTCTTTGGTTTGTTTACTTGTTTTTTTAGAGAGCAAGTAAGAAAGACTATGCTTCCATTGTCTCCTCAGTCCTCACATTTTTAGATGTTACTGTCATATCGCTAAGGTTTGCTTTGCCAACATGAAGGATTTTAGTGTTGCCACCACCACTTAACCATGCTTCTAGATTCATGAATATTTGATTTTGATTCAGCTCTTTGTTGGCTCATTTTCATTATCAAATTGATGTTCAAGTTGCAGCTTCCCAGGCTGTGTGTGGTTTCTGAGTCCTTACTGGTTGGGAATGAGTGTGTGTCTCTTGTCTATGTTTAAATCGCAGAATAGCTAGGTTTAAATATTCCTGGGCTGCATATCCATTCCCTGGAACTCGATAGATGTTGCTCAGATGCCTTCTAGCGTTTATCACCACGGTGAAGCTTGTGAAAGTTGCCTGCTTCTCCCTGTTTATATCGTGTAGACAGCAGAAGACATTTTCACCTTTGAAATCTGTGATTTCACTGAAAGTGAGTGGGAGTTGCCTGATTATTCCAAAGAATTGTTATACACTGAGGGGGAGAGGGGGTCTGTGTTTGTGTACTTGGGTGGTGGAGTACCAATGTGGAGTACAGTGGACTGCCGTGGGAGTCTATCCTCCCCTTCTACCATGTGGGTTTTGGATAATAAACTCGGGTCCTAAGGTGTGGCAGCAAGCTTCTTCACCTGCTGAGCCATCTCGCTGGCCCTGGTGTGCATGATTTTACATCGTTCCTTCTCCCTGCCCTTCTCACTGCACTCTTTTAGGTCTGAGATTCTATCCTAAGGTGCTGTCGTCTTAAGTTTGCTTTTTTTGCTTTTGTTTTCTTGTTGTTTTGTTGGTTGGTTTTTCAAGATAGGCCTTCTCTGTGTAGCCCTGGCTGTCTCAGCACTCGCTCTGTAGACCAGGCTGGTGCTCAAGCTCACAGAGATCGCCTGCCTCTGCCTCCCGAGGGCTGGGGTTAAAGGCACGCGCCATCACTTCCTGGCTAATATGCTTTGTTTTGTCCTATGTTTTGAGACAAGGATCTTGCCACGTAGCCCAGGCGGCTTTGAATTTGTGATCCTCCTGCCTCATCAGGAAATACAGGCTCACTCACATCACCATGCTTGACTTTGACTACGTCTTTGGTCACACCCTTTCCCCCTTGTGAGATTCTAAGTCCCCTGGTCTGGTGTGCATCCATTATTAGATAATTACTTTCTTCTTTCTTATGTTCATCCCACTTTTCTCTCAAGCAGCTCTCTTTATTATATTTAATTTAATATTTATTAAATATTTATTTAGTATTTATTAAATATTTAATTAAATATTAAATTTATTAAATTTCCTTTCCTTTGGAGACAGTCTCATTTAGCCCAGGCTGACCTCAAACTTCTAATGGGGGCTGAGACACCCCTGACCTTCTGGCATGCCTCTATCTCTCTCTCAAGGACTGGAATTGCAGGCGTATGTCACTACACAGGTCACAGGGAGCTTGATAGAGGAGCACTCGCCCAGCTGAACTGCAACCCTAGCACCTAATGTCATTTTCTCTAGTGTTCTTTGCTTTATTCTTTAAAAAAAATTAATGTTCTTGAGATGGTGTTCTTGTGGAATTAGAATGAATCCCGTCTTTTCATTTTGTTGTATTCTCATCCTTAACCTTCTTTCCTTCCTTCCTTCCTTCCTTCCTTCCTTCCTTCCTTC